GCGGTGCCGCCCTCCAATTTGGCCATGCATTTGCATATTTAATTTTCGGGGTAGGTCGCCCTCCAATTTGGCCATGTACTTGCATATTTAATTTTCGGGCGGTGCCGCCCTTCAATTTGGCCACATTCTACATATTTAATTTTTAACGCGAGCCGCCCTTCGATTTGGCCATGCATTTGCATATTTAAGTTTCGGGACGAGCCGCCCCCCAATTTGGCCACGCATTTGCATATTTAATTTTCGGACGCCCTCCAATTTGGCCATGTATCGCATATTTAATTTTCACGACGAGTCGCCCTCCAATTTGGTCATGTACTGCATGTTTGATTTTCGAGGCGTGCCGTCCTTCAATTTGGCCTCACATTGCATATTTAATTTTCGGGGTAGGCCGCCTTTCAATTTGGCCATGTACTTGCATATTTAATTTTCGAGTTAGGCCATCCTTCAATTTGGCCTCACATTGCATGTTTAACTTTCGGGGTAGGCCACCCTTCAATTTGGCCCCATATTGCACGTTTAATTTTCGAGGCGGTGCCGCCCTTCAATTTGGCTATGTACTCGCATATTTAATTTTTAGGGCGGGCCACTCTTCAATTTGACCACGTATCGCATATTTAATTTTTAGGGTAGGCCGCCCTTCGATTTGGCCATGATTGCATATTTAAGTTTCGGGACAGTGTCGCCCTTCAATTTGGTTATCCCATCACCATTTTACTCTTGATTTTTTTAAAAAAAAAAAACCAAAAATTTGTTTTTCTTTACAAGCTTATTAAACAAAGTCATTGCAAAACATTTTTTTTCATTTGACTTTGCATCATAAGCATTGTAAAGAGGAGGCAACTCGTCATAACCAATAAAAAATAAAAAAAATTTTAATAATAGCTTTTATTTTGAAATGTTTATTTCTTTATTTTTATTTTATTTTATTTTTGAAAAAAAGAGAAGAAAAGAAAAAAAAGAAAAAAAGAAAAAAAATATAAAATCTTCAAGGGCATAATTGAATCGGTTAAAGAAATTCAATACTTGAATTGCTATTTGTGGGGATCAAATCGAAAAAAAAATTCCTTACATGGCTAAAATTGCACCAAATAAGCATGATTGCAAATAATTAAAATGTTCGGGGACCAAAGTGGAAGCTCGGAGTGAATGACGGGACTAAAGTTGAACGAATGACATGTCGTTCACTCTAGCCCGAATTTCACTCCCGATTCCCTCCAAAATTTGATTGAAAGTTATCCTAATCCTCTAACCGTTTTTGGATTTCTTCAAATTTGATTTATCCCGATTATTTAGTTAATCAAATTTGAAATCAATAACAGGATTTTGAGTTCAAATAGGTTAGGTAAAAATCTGAATTTGAAAGTGTTTGAGTTGGAGTAGAATTCAAATGGGAGTGCCTATAAAAGAGGTTAGAATTGAAGGCTAAAGGAGGATTTTTTTGGGGGGTGCGAGAGAGAAAAGAAGGTGAGAAAGAAAAGAGAGAAAATTCTGGTTGGAAAAAAAAATCGAAATACTTTTGGGAAAAATATTGGCTGCATTTTACGGGTTTTACGGGAACGTGTTCTTCGCGTTCTTCATTTACGGGTTTTAGTTCGTCCACAATTTGTTTTGTTACTTAATTATTTTTGGTGTTTACGGGTTCGTTTACAATCATCCCAACACTACTAATTCACTTTGCCAATTTGGGGGGTCTAATTTGGTTTTTCTTCGATTTTCCATAAAAAATTTTACGGGCAAAAGCGTGTTTTTACAGGTTCTTGTTCTTCGTTTTTCCGGGTTTATTCATCCCGCTCTTGGGTTTTGTTTCATTTCTTTCATCAAAGTATCCTTCGCTCGCTTAGTTTTCCATCATCAACGAATTACCGAGCGAGCTATATCCACTTAATCCGACTTGAAGCAATCATCCAAACTCGCAAAATCAACGGCAACCACAACAACGAAGGTTCCAATATTGTCTTTCGTTCATTTGTTTTTGCTCAAGTAATCCTAATGCTAGAATTACTCCATTCTATTATGTTACATTAACTCGCGAGTTGATTTGAGTTTGAAAATAAAAGGAATGAATTGGAAGCTAATTCCGGAGAAGAGCCATACGGTTAGAACGAATAAGAGTGGGACAGGAGAATAGAGAAAGGAAATTTTTGGGTGCGAGGCTTTGCCTTAAGCCGCATTACATAAGGGTTGGATCGACCCGAGATCTCTCGCCACTAAAAAAAAAAAGTAGGCCGGCTCGCGCCCCCTACAAAAAAAAAAAAAAAAAACGGGTTGGGCCATTCTCGATCCAGTCTAGCCCGGCCGCGCCCCTACAAAAAAAAAAAAAAAAAAACGAGGTTGGGCCATTCTCGGTCCAGCCTGGCCCGCGCCACTGCAAAAAAAAAAAAAAAAAAAAGAGTAAAAGTGGTAGTTTAATACTTTAGGTATAGAATTTTTTTTTAACTTTTCTTGTCATATATATATATATATATATATATATATTTTTTGCTTATATAGGATGATTTTTTTTTATTTTGTATTTTTTTTGCTCGTCTATTTTATTGTAGTTTTCTTTATTAATTTAGAATTTTTATTTCAAATTTTTTTTTTAATATGTATTGCTAGAAAATTATATATATATATTTGATGAAGTCTCCTACCCGATAGGGACCGACGTCACACAAAAATTTTGGCGAAGCCTCATATTTGATAGGGGCGACGCCACAAAAAAATCACCTTTTAATCAAGACGTCCTTCGACACACCGGTTGTGTCAAGGTTTCTAGTGGATCCGATGTTTGAATCGACGTGTCACCCAAGGAAGGGGACCGACGATTAGTTCAATACGATGCCACGCTCAACACAAAAAATACATTTTGTTAAGATAATGCTTTTCGTTTAAGATTTAGAAAATAAATTGGCATAGATAAACAATATAGGAGATAAATTTAGGACTAAAATAAAATGTGGTACCTTTCTTCGGAAAGGGCACTTTTAGGGTGAATAATTATCTTCCTAAAGGTGTAACCAACTCGCTTACCATAGAATCTCTAGACCGAGTGTTATTTTTAGGTTCCTAGTTCCTTAATACTAGGTGGCGACTCCAAAGCTCGTAAATAAACTTATAAATATCAATCACAATTTTAGAAATTTAGTTTTTGGGAGTCCCGTCCGACGTCGGGTAACGACAAGCATAAATGAGTAAAGCCTACCAATTTACATAAGCAACTTTGAATACGATAGAAAACCAAAGTCGATCTAGAAAACGAACACATGGGCCAACGGTAGCCAAGATCGGGAAGGGCAGCAGAGTATCCCCTTATAGCATAGCAGGACCGGGAACTTGCGAAGTAGCGGCGAAAGCAAGGCTTGACCTCGTAGTAGGACCAAAAAATGAACTAGGAGACCTTAACGACTAACTAGGCTCGCCCAAGTAAGTGGTGGCGAGGCATGACCAACAAAGGAAGCAGACAGAACCAAAAGCGGCCTCTCGGTTAGAGGCGATCACCCAATCCGGAGCTACACCGGGTTGACGGTGAAGAGAGGCTAGGCTACGGGGTAGAAGCCAAGGAAGACCGGAGGAGGACCGACCTCACTAGACCCCTACCGCGGCTAAAACAAAACCCGCAACCTAAGGGAGGCGAAGTAAAGACGAGTAGCCAAAACCAATCGGGGAACCAAGCAGAGGTTAACCCAAATCAATCCAATCGGACGAACGGAATCACCGAGCCCAACGAGGAGAGAACCCACATGGCGAAGCTCTCAACGGCGGACGGATGCGGGATCAACCAAGCAAGAGCCACCAAAGCGGAAAACCATCGGTATAGGTAACAAAACCCACTCGCAATTTACGAAGGAAGGTCCGGCCTACTAGTACGCAATCCTACCCATCAAAAGCTTCGAAGAACAACCCAAATAGAGGCGAGAGCCGCTGGAACAAGACACTAGAGGCGAAACAAAAAAAAGAGGAAAAACAAAATGGACCTAACCTCTCGAGAAGCGACGGACTCCCAAGCCGGAAATGACACGACCAAGGAGCGACCAACAGCGACCACATTAATTAGAATAGTGGTTGCCGGACACGAAAACTTGAGCACACAAACATCCGAATAGGGGAAAAAGTTAAAGTGATCCCACATTCAAAAGGGTGTGATCTAACTCATGGAAATAGTAAATCAAGTATAACATGGTCCGAAATTTTTGAAGAACTTTGTCAACGGAGCATGATGCGGCCTCAAAGACTCACCTGTTTCACTCCTCCCGGATAATATAAATGGTGATGCCGAGGGCTACCCTCCTCGTTCTAGCTTCAAGATTATTGCATCTACTCGGATAGACCACGGAGAGCACTATAAAGAGTAGACATACCTCTTCTAATTCGGAGCCAACTCTTAATTTTTAGCCGGAGGGTAGCCGACCAATCACGGGAAAAAAAAATGACCATGTGACTCGTTAGCTTGGCCACGAGAGAAGGTAGGCTTTCTTGGTAGGGAGAAATTGAAGACGGGCCTTAGTTTTTAAAGCACCTCGCGTAGCCGGCCATAGAATGAATGCATGCCTCAACATGGCCCAAGATTCCCAAACCACACGGCCCCACCTTGTTGAGTTCATTTCCGGTCGGAGATGGGAATAGGCTATACGGGAGAAGTTTTCCCCTTTAGAGTGCCATCGTGCTAGCTCATAAATAGTTGCCACCGAGAGCTCTTTCTTTTTTTTTATTTAAAAGTAAGTATATAAATCAAAGGAAACCATCCGGAAAAAGAACCGAGTAAGAGTAGCATTTACGGAATGTACAAAAATTGGGAACAAGCTCCCAAAGAAACAAAAATAATGTGCTAGCCCTAGATGGTTATTCAAGGAAACAAACAGTTGCAGAGATTTTGAGAAAAACCGAGATAGGGACCGTGTGCTAGCTAACCGGAACCATTTACATAGGCTCTCCAAGCATACAAAAAATTTACCGATTAAGCACTAAATGAAAACCAACAATGTACAAAATAACGAGCCTTCAATTTATAGAGCCAAATGCTAACTCGACGAAACAATAGGGATCGACGAAGCAGCAGTGCCAAGGCGTGCGGAGAGGCTATGACCGGGAGGGCCCACCTATCAACGAAGCTCGGATAAGGGATGAGACCGCATGACAAAAGAAGGAGAAATAGGAGCTAGCCGGAGTAGCGGCGCCAAGCTTGGTAGAGAGCCAATGAGGAGCGAAATTTAGGCTAGACCTCGCAAGCAGGACCGAAACGAGAACCAATAGGTGTTGGTAGGCATAAACGACAGATGCCCAAGCAGGAACTTACCCCGGGCCGAACCCCACCTCCTACCAACCAGACCCCTCCATCCTACCAAGAGCATAAACCGGTAAGTACCTAAGCCATGAGTAGGCCAACACAAAGAAGCACCCGAAGTAGCCGCTCGGCGTAAAACAGGAACGTGAGGAAGCGCTAGACGACTCGGGAGAGGAAGCTAGGCCCAGCCTCCATTAGAAGATAAATAAATAAGGGGCTGAACACAGCAGTAGACCTAGCCCGGTGAAGCCCAATCGGATTGAGAACCAAGCAGCAGGTAGGCCATGGGGAGCCGGACACATCAAGTCGGCGAAGGCGGGGCCAACTAGAGGCAAAACAACAAAGGCATAGCACCCAAACCCAAACCAACCGGAGAGCATAAAAAACTCTACAACCGGACCAATGACAAGAGCACCCATTCAGCCCAACCAAACGAAGCCGGAGCTCGGGGCACACAGCCCAACCAAACCGAAGCCCGAGCCCACCAATACAAGCAAGTAGGCCTACAACCGGACCCGAATATGTTGAAAGGAACCTGCCGGGCATGGAATAATATAACCCAAAAGCAGAAGCAAGACCAAACAACTTTGACCAATCGTGGCGTAGCCAAGGAGGCGGCGAGTGGTGAAACTCAATAGGACGAAACGAGGCCCAAACAAAGGCGCAACCCTTGAACGAACACGGCCTCGGACCGGGAAAACCAATACGGCCCAAGAACTTGGAAGAGTAGCTAGACAACACACAAGAAGACCTAAATCCGGAGAACCAATCGGTGGTAACCCGACCGAAGAGAACTCGTAAACTCATCGAGGAAATCAAGGCTAACCCATAGACAAGAGGAGGGGGTCCGATTCATGAAAATAGAATACCGTGTAGAAAATAATCTAGAATTTACGAAACACATTATCTACCAAGCTAGCCAAGGCATCAAAGGCATGTTTGTTTCTTTCTTCCCAAATGACATAAACCGTGATACTAAGGGCCACTCTCCTCATTTTCGCTTCAAGGTTATTACGATGAAAGGAGAGGCCTCCGATAGCACTAGTGAGCATATGCATACCTCTACAAATTCTCGGCCACTCGCTTAATTTTCAACTAGAGGTTAGTCGTCTAAGGGCAACAAAAGAACAAATGGTTAAGTGATTCGGAAGCTTGATCACAAAGAAGACATGCATCATCGGTAGGCGGAAAACGGAGACGGTTCTTAGTTTTTAAGGCACCCCTAGCCGCAAGCCGGAGAATAAAGGAATGTCGTGGCATGGACCATGACTCCCAAATCACCCTACCCCGACACACTCTGGTGCCCTCGCCGGCCTAAGCCGTGTATATGCAATATTAGAGAAACTTCCCTCTGTCGAGTTCCACCTAGCAAACTCACATATGGTTGCATCTTTACTCGTCATATTTCATAACAAACAAGTTTTTCACATCGAGAATAACTTTCCACAACGGCGAAGCATTGCCATGGACGGTAGCATCGCACACTCGGTAATCTTGCAAATAGAAGTGGTGGATCCAACAAATCCAAATGGAGTCAACCTTGAGGTGAATGTCCCGCAGCCTTTTAACCGGAAAAATTTGGTTTTTCACTTTAATGTCAAAGACTCCTAGGCCACCTTCGATTTAGGGGAGTAGAGGCTTTTCAAGCCACCAAAGCCGAAGAGCTCCTATTGACATCTCCCGTCCATAAAAAATTTTGACACATACCGGTGATACATGCAATAACCACAACGAAGCATAAGAAAAATAGCAAGCCGAATTGTATCATGTCGAAGAGGACGGACTCGAGGAGTTTCAGCCTACTCACATAAGATAGATGTTTTCCCATCCAGCTCCGAATCGCGGATTCAAGACTATGTAGCAAAGGGGCAAGCCGGCTAACAAGCAAGCGATGAGGGCTTAGAGGGACCCCCAGTATTTGAAGGGGAAAGAACCCTCACGGAACCCGGCTTCATGGAGGATGGAGTTTTTCAAGTCACTTCCCACCCCACTAAAGAAGATCGAGGACTTGGCAACATTAATGGCTAGACCGGATACACTCCCAAAGATTGATAGTTGGTTGGACGGAATCTCGATAGAGGCAACATCTCCATGGCAAAGCAACAAGACATCATTCGTAAATGCTAGGTGGGTAGTGGCATGGTTTCCACATTGAGGGTGGAAGCGAAAGATAGAATTCCTTATAGTAACCTACGAGTAAGCGAGAGAAGTATTCCATGCGGACCACAAATAGGTAGGTAGAGAGGGGGTCACCTTGCCTAACACCCGCTTTTCCCGAAAAAACCCAAACAGTGCCCCGTTGACCAAAATGGAGTAGGAAGCTGATTCAACACATGTCATAATCCAACCAACAAATCTGTCCAGGAAGCCTAATTGTAATAGAAGCTCTTTCAAGAAACCCCACTGCACGGAGTCAAAGGCCTTACGAAAATCAATCTTCATTAGGCACCTCGGAGAAGATCGCTTCCATCCATACATTCGAAGCAACTCCCGAACCAAGCCAATATTGTCCGACATTTTTTGGCCCCCAAGTAGGCATTATGCATAGGACTAACTATATCCATTAGAGCCAAGGATAGCCGAGAGGAAATGATCTTGGTAATCACCTTGTAAACAATATTACAACAAGAGATTGGTCTATAGTCACTTGGCAAGGTAGCATTGGCCATTTTTGGGACCAAAGCTACAACAGAGTGGCTAACTTGTTTGAGGAGCTTCCCGGATACAAAAACTCTTTAACCACCGTGCAAAAGTCTCTCCCAACAATTTCCAAATCCCGTTTAAAGAAGAAGGAAGAGTACCCATCGGGGCTTGGTGCTTTATCATTGTCTATGCTGAACGATGTCTTCCGGATGAGATCCACCGTGACCGAGGAGAGAAGCCGATCATGGCCGGCCATTTGTAATCAAGGCCCACTAGCAACAATGTGTGAGTCAAGGGGCATCGTATCTTTAGTGGTACCAAAAAGGTTTTGATAATAGGAAACAAACTCCTCTCCTACTTCTATAATAGAGGTAGTGAGATGCCCATCTCCCCGTTTAAGTGCAATAATATGGTTGGCTTTGTGCTTCGATTCATAAGGCAATGAAAGAAACTAGTGCCTTTGTCGTAATTCTTAAGGAAATTGCACTTTAATTTTTGACCAAAGAACATCTTTTCGAGGCTTTGAGATTAACCGGATGGAGCCGAGCCTCTTTTCATTCGATAAAGCTCCAAATTATCTCTATCCGAGTGGAGCTCAATCACGTAGTGCGACCAAGTCGGATTCGACCCTAACCACCCTTTGGGAGATGTGGCTGAAATGAAGTGTGTTCGACTTCTTGAGTGGTTCCTTGAGAGATTTCAATTTGCGACAAAGGACATACATTGGGGTGCCACCGATTCTAGCTTCCTAACAATTGACCACAGTTCTCAAAAAATCAACATGGGCAGCCCACATATTGAAGAATTTGAAGCTTCGAGTCTCGGAATGAATACGGGAGCCCAAGTGTACCATAACTGGAGAATGATCTAAAAAAACGTCGGGAGGGCCAAAATGAACATGAGTAGGTCAGTCCGGTGGAGGACCAAAAAGGGTTAGCTAGAACTCTATCGATTTTTATCCATACATCTTCCCCATTCCAAGTAAAATTGCTCCCCATATAGTTAAGGTCCGTTAGCCCAAGATCCGAGCAAAAACTTCTAAAGTCGATGGTTTCGTAGTTGGAGACAAGCAGCACCCTTATGTTTATCGGCTTGTGAGAGAATTGAGTTAAAGTCCCCCGGAATAATCCAAGGGCGGTTTGGCTACCACCGACAAAGATCGAGCCACAACCCTCTTCTAGCTTTGATGGAGTGTAACCCATAAACAAAAGTGGCATTAAAGGACGAACTGCTGCACAAGGTCGGTGATCCTAACATTGAGACCTTGAATAGAAACATTCAACATATCAACTGTGACAATGCTTGAATTCCATAAAAGTGCAATGCGGGCATTTCTCGCTAGTGTAGCATTGGACATAAAGCTCCATTGCTTGAGTCTAAGCCGATGCATATTGACAAGCTTAGCGGAACCGAGTTTTGTTTCAACGAAGGCACACACATCAACCTTCTTTTTCCTCATGAGACCCACTGCCTCATGTTGTTTCGGAGGACTATTAAGTCCTTTGATATTCTAGCTATAGATAATCATGGATGAGCGGAAGAGGCCGAGCCCCTTCGACCCCCGTTTCCGCCCTTTATTACCACTCTGCCGGCGGCCTCGCCTAGGTGAAGTGGCTCGCGGCGATCCGCTCTTCTTGTCCGGTCGGGGGTCCAAACCGGTGTCCCCAAGGGAAGTTGGAACATTAAGGCATTCGGCTTCCTTATCGTGGACGGACCTTATGATGGGAGGCCTAGACTTGCCACTATCTTATCTATCGGGAGAGCCATTCCTATAAGTACCCCGAATTGACTCGCCCCCGGCACGATGGCCCCGCTCGTCCGGCTTGGTCAACAATGTGGTCGCTCGGCCCCACTCATGTCCCCGTTCGTCGCAACCTACCAACCCGGGTCGAACCTCAATCAGCTCGGTGTTAGAAGGGGACATTGGACTCGTGGTAGAATCAACCATAACATGTTTACCTTTATCGATAGCTCTGTAAGAGTGTGTTTTACGCTTAACTATCTCCCACTCAGCAGCCTCCAGTAGCATGGGGTCAAGAGGTGAGTGGACCGTGGCCGAGCACACCTTGGCGAATTACCCGGCCATTGGAAAACACTAGTTCGGCCTCGCCCGCCGGCAGCTTCACTACCATTGGTGGGTTCCTTACTCAAATCCGAAGGAGCTCGATTTTTGCATGCGACTGTGGAATGCCCAAGTATATAGCAATTTTTGCAATGAACGGGTAGAGTCTCATAAACCACTCGGCTGCAAAAGGGTGGTATTATTCGGTAATAGGATGCCGACCATCCGGGGAGAGTTTCCATAATATTTAGTTCCATAAGGACTCGAGCATAGGAAAGTCTACCATGGAGGCGAGTTAAACGGTCACATTAGAGAGGTTTACCCAAGCAAACTAGCAATCTTCGACAAACACACAGTGGACCAACATTTGAGTGGCAGATTGGGGAGCATGACCCAAACAGGGACGAGTAGGCATCTCGGAGGTGGAAAAATCAAAGTATTCTAACATTGGCCGTAAAATCAAAGCTCGTCCGTAAACCAAATACGATCTCCTATTAAGCACCAAAACCTTATCTTCCTCTCGATTTGAATTTATAAATAAGCTAGCCGGATTCATGTACTATTAAAGAAGCCTCACAATGCCAAGTATCCTTGATAATTCCATTTAGGGATTTAAATCTTGGATATTTACCAACAACATATCCCACAAGGCATAATTTTCATAACTCACATTTGGTATCAACGGTTTGTAAAGTACATTGTTTGGATTCGGTGATAGTTGAAAAATGTGATAGTTTAGGGCATAAGTCCGAGTTATGATTACTTACAAACAAATCCCGCCACTTACCTTCTAGGGGAGGAATTGACCCAATCGCTCCTGCTCGTGGATTCATCACAAGCCGGAGGCTTATGGACATCTGCTACTATAATTGGCAATGGAGAAGGGGTTGGCTCGACATTTGCAAGGAAATTGGGGTCGTGGCATTGTGGAGGATGGCAATGCGACTGGGTGGCGAGCAGTGATTTGGCAAGTGTCGTAGCTTCCCCGAAACCAAAAGAGGAGAAGCGGTTCTAGGGAGCAAAGATGGGGACACGTTCTCGCCTTCGAATCCAAATAATCCACCTCCTCCTCACCGAGGTCCGCCTCTTCCAAGCGGTCTTC